TTGGCCTTAGTATTACTGGAGATGGGACCGCCATTTTACGTGGTCATCCGAGCCACAGGAGATTCACAGTACCACAGTATTCACAGATCCTACACCTATATCCACAGTTACCTATAAATAACCATAACCTACATTTGATATCTCGCCACACTTACCTGACGTCTACATTTGATATCTTGCCACACTTACCTGACGTCTACATTTGATATCTCGCCACACTTACCTGACGTCTACATTTGATATCTCGGCCACGACGTTACCTGACGTCTACAGTTTGATGACGTCTCGCACACTTACCTGACGTCTTACATTTGATATACTCTGCACACTTAGCCTGACGGTCTACATTGATATCTGCGCCACACGGTTTCACCTGACTCTGGTCTACCATTTTGATATCTCGCTACAGCTCCTGCATGTCGTTTACCGAAAGTCTGACATTCTGATGATCTCTGCCACAGTTACCTCATGTATTATATTACTGTTATTAGAGTTACCGGTAAATAACCATAACCTACTTTTTGATATCTCGCCACAGTTACCTGACAGTCTACAGTTTAGAATATCTCGTTAACAGGCTAGGATCCCTGCGATTTTGCGCGTCGGCTGCTTTTAGACACCTTCGCGCACGCACGGTCTGTTGTCATATCAAATGTAGGTTATGGTTATTTATAGGTAACTGTGGATATAGGTGTAGGATCTGTGAATACTGTGGTACTGTGAATCTCCTGTGGCTCGGATGACCACGTAAAATGGCGGTCCCGTCTCCAGTAATACTAAGGCCAATGGGGACGTAAAAGAACCACTGAGGGCGCAACAAAATATGGCTGTGACCACCCGCAGTGTCATTCGGCTAAAAAAGGCTTACTACCTGGCTTTACTCCAAGCTAGGTCACACCCCATGGCTAGCTAGCCATTGGCAGAATCATCAGTATGTTGATGGTGGCCAATATAGAGTAGAAGTAGAAGAGAACCTACCCGAGATAGAAGCCGTAATATTCGATCTCGACCTGTATGTAGACTATGGGTCCGAGCGCGGTGAGAGCGCCGATGTTGACGCACCAGTAGAACCAGTTGAAGAATGATCGCATCACCGACGGTCCCTCACTCATCACCTGCAACGATCGCACGCCGTCGCCGTGGTGACGACGCAAAGAAACCAATTAGCTGCAATTAATATATATATGAAAAAATAATATATATAATGAATAAATAATCTCAAAGATTATAATTATGATTATTTGATATTTCTATGAAGAATTCATTATTTTAAAATATATATACTCCTGACATACAACGACGACGACGATGGCAACAACAACAACAACAACAACAACAACAACAACAACAACAACAACAACAACAACAACAACAACAACAACAACTAACAACAACAACGACAACAACGACAATGGCACCACCGCCGCCACCCCCTCACCCCCCGCGCACCTGATCCGCACCAAACGGAGCTATGTTCGCTTTCACGCCGCCTGAACCGAGCGCCACGATGACGAGTGAAAAGTAGACCAGCCACGCGCAGTGCGGCCCGCCCTCGCCCGCTCCCCTGTCGTCGACGTCGGCGACTGCCGTACTACCCGGGTAGAAGATTGTCCGCCAGGCGGCGTAGGAGCAGATGCGGGCGACGTCGACTCGCGGAGACGCGACGAGCGGCAGGAACGAGTAACCCACTATGTAGACCATCAGGCTGAGGCAGACCGTCCAGAAGCGTCCGAGGCAACTGTCGGCGATCCAGCCAAACAGCGGCGCGGCAAGGTGCGAGGAGCCGAGAAAGACGAGCACGGCGACGGAGGCGTCGTACGAGACCCACTCGAGCGGACGCTTGTTGAGGAAGAGGACGAGGTTGCCTGCGAGTGAGTAGAACGCGACGCGCTCGAGGATCTCGGTGATGAGGATCGCTGCGCAGGCGACCTTCTTCTTCCACGCGGGTCTCTGGTCGAGCAGCGCTCCCTGGTGGTAGCTGCTGCCCCACAGACGCTGCGTGGTGGACCTGCGAGTTGGGCGTCTGCTGCTGCCGCTGGCGCTGTTGCTCAGCAGAGGAGCTCTCTCGTCCATCCGATCTGTTCTGTCGGCCATGATTCTTTCTAGTCACGCGCGATGACGTCGATGCGAGCGTTTTCTTTCGCGCGCGACATGCCTCCTGCGCGTTTGGTTTATCCACGAAAAAACGCGACTTGTAAGTTGTTGTTGATTTACGAATGTACAGAACGGAAGTAGGCAGCACCTGTTGCTGTTTCCGGTGGTGGCTCAAAACGCGTAATGTAGTTATTGAAGCAATTTAATATATATACTGAATTTCATTAATTTATACCCTTATTTTTGTTAATGATGCATAATATTTTTGAACATAAACGCGTGTACATTATTCATGTGTATATTTTCCATGAGTAAAATGTTAAATGGTCACCCGTTTTTGCGACGATTTCAACATGGCTTTGTCCATGTTACTGGAATGTTTATGTGCGGTTGATACCTAAACCCTTGTACCGTTCCTAAAAATTATTCAGCATGCCCGCGGAGTCGCCTGTCCTCGAGGCGTTGGCAAAAACTGAAAAGGGGCAGTTGAAATATGACAAAAATTGGCTCGGCAGTGGAAATTGGAAGGTTTGTTGACGTCACTCGGTCTGAACCTCACTGTCGCGTCGCCCGTCGGTGCCAGTGCCACTATGTACTGACTACACTAACCCAACATCTCTAACCCCCTAAGTCTCTAACCCCCTAAGTCTCTAACCCCCTAAGTCTCTAACCCCCTAAGTCTCTAACCCCTTAAGTCTCTAACCCCCTAAGTCTCTAACCCCCCCTAAGTCTCTAACCCCCTAAGTCTCTAACCCAACATTGTACTTGTAGCCGTAGGCTACTCTGCTGGGTTACATTGTTCAATTTGTTGTATCTAAGTCAGGGTTTCTTATATAGTTATAAATAAGAGGCACAGTGGCGCACCGCCGTTGGCGTTGCCATTGTCACAAATTTAACATCGCTGTTGTGAAAATGTTCCTCTACAACTAACAGACTTATACTCATAAACAGAGTAAGATTTAAAGTAAAATTTTATTTTCACGGTGCCTCAAATGCAGTCAAAGACATTCAATTTTTAATTTTTTGCGCGGGAGACTCCCCAGAACCCCCTCCCTCTCTCCCCCTGCATCCGCCTGCAGCGTCCGCACAAATTCATCATACCCGGTGGGCCGGTACGTGTTTTTTCCCAAACTGGCCATTACCTCCTTTGTCTAATTTTCCATCAGAATAAATCCTGTAAGTATTTCTATAGATACAAATATGTACGTTTAGACATGTTGGGCTACGTACTTGTATCTGTTTCCTAACATCTACTTAGTTTGGTTACCCTGTTCACTTGGTCTGGCTGTTTTTGCCTAGCACTTCACTCGCAGTCTGACCAGGTTCTGTGAATGAACACGTGTTTATTATAGTTCTAGTAGCATTTGTTATGCAGTGAAATAAGTGAGACAATCACTTAAGGCTACTTGCTTGACTTGGACTGGAAACAGGGAAAAAGTAACTTTTTTTTACGGGAGCTCTTTTTCAAAAGTCTGTGGAAAAAATATAGCTCTCGTCAAAAATTTTACGGGAGCTATTTTGAGCCTCACGGGAGCGATTTCAGAGGTTTGAAGAGCGAATCACTCATTGCTCCCGTGTATTTTTTACCCTGACTGGAACTGCATTTACAATTCTCTGCACAGTGCACACTGCACTTGTAATCACTGGAGTTATTATATTTAGCTGGTAGGATTACACTTGCTTCTACCGGTCACAGTTTTTGCTTTGTTTTGCAGAAAGTTCTTGACGAGTGTGTGTCACCACCCACCCTCAGCCCTCGCGTGATACCGCCGTCGATACAGAAACCCGGGTCACCCATTCCTTACGATGACTCATACACACCTAGGTAAACGCAGCATGTCTGTGTTGGCATAGTGACTGTAGAATTATGTGAGATCACTTATATATAAAAAAATTAATTTCCTTGTACAATATATAAAAGAGAATGGTTTGCATTGGTGCCTTTCGATCTACATCTGGTTTTATACTGGTCGGTCTATAGGCGCGTTCACACGGACGTTTTTAGCTTTAGCCTAATTAGGCCCGCACCATATTTGTCTCGAGCTGAGCGTTCACACGGACGGTTTTTCGGGGCTGTGCCGAGTTAGCACGAGCTAATTTGGTCCCATCAAAAACGTCTGACCAGGCCCGAGCCAAATTTTAGCACCAGCTAAATCGGTAGAGCAGTAGATGCCGCGAGTGTCGAACATGTACTTCGACGAAATAAAGTTCAAAACAGTATAAAAATTCGAAAAATTTGATCAGGATGCATGTTTTCAAGATTGATAATTGAACTCGGAACGGAAGTAAACACTGAATCGTACACAACGCCATCTCGCGACATACTGCCAAAGTATCTGTGAGATATTTGTGCAATATGATTTATTTGAATTTGGATTTGACAGACAGTAGGCCTATTCACTTGCTTACGTGTGAACGCTCCGACTCGAGCCAAATTTAGCCTGAGCCAAATTTTACGTACCCGTAGCCTCTGCGTGTAAACAATGTGTATTAATTGTTTGAACTTCTGTTGAACTTCTACTTTTTTGTCAACTTTTTTCTTGGTTGTCCACCGGACAATGTCTCAGATGGGTTAGGTTGTCCGGCGCAAATTCTGGTTGTCTCGGACAACCGGACAACGCTTATTTCGAGCACTGTAAAATATAGTAAAATTATACTTATTCCATGCCTACTTTTTATCGTGATTTTAGTAATAAAAAGTCGAGGCTTTCCAGCGATGGAGAAATTAGTTGCAACGATGGGTACAGAGCACAGGTGTCACCCTTTGAGATAGCTATAGTCAAGAGTGAGAAGCAATGGCTCACTAGAACTAAGGTATATTTAATCAAAACTTTCCTGCTAAGGGCAAACCAATCGGGGGGAAAAAACGTGAATCTTTTTTTGCTGTCGTACATATATCGCTTACGAGTGATCGTTATTGATGCGAGGTTTTTACGGATGCAGTATAAAATTCCTATTTAGTTTTCATTGCTTATTATTGCATATCTGTTATTGTGAAATAAAATATCACTTATGGATTCATGATATATAACTGTATGTAGAGAGATATTTCATGAACTGAGTATTTAATTATACCTCTGGTATAGGTAATGATATTAAACGATTTCACTGCTCAGCTACCACTCAGGGAAAACACCAAAAGTGTCTTTTATAGACAGGTGTCCTTTATATAGAGGTGACCGCTAACACAGGTACGACTATACGCCCTTTATAGACAGGTGTCCCTTCTATAGAGGTGACCGCTAACACAGGTACGACTATACGTCCTTTATAGACAGGTGTCCCTTCTATAGAGGTGACCGCTAACACAGGTTCCGTGCGTGACCTTTCTCAGGAGGTTGTCGCGCGGCGAAAAAAG